AATGATATAAAAAAGTACAGACCTATTTCAATATTACCATTATTATCCAAAGGGCTAGAAAGGCTTATACATGGGCAAATGTCTAAGTTTTTTGATAAGCATAATCTTATCTTTACAGCCCAGTTTGGATTTAGGAAACGCTTGTCCACTGAACTAGCTCTACTTCAGCAAAAGGAATTCATTTTATCACAATTCGAAAGCAAAAAATTTGTGCTCAACCTTTACATTGGTTTCACTAAAGCATTTGATTGCATACATCATTCGAGCCCCGCCGCGGTGGTCTAGTGGCTAAGGTACTCGGCTGCCGACCCGCAGGGCGCGGGTTCGAATCCCGGCTGCGGCGGCTGCATTTCCGATGGAGGCGGAAATGTTGTATGCCCGTGTGCTCAGATTTGGGTGCACGTTAAAGAACCCCAGGTGGTCTAAATTTCCGGAGCCCTCCACTACGGCGTCTCTCATAATCATATAGTGGTTTTGGGACGTTAAACCCCACATATCAATCAATCAATCATACATCATTCGGTATTGCTTAGCTTGAAAATTACGGTATTCGCTGGCACCGTCTAAACCTTGTGAAGTCTTACCTTGATCATCGTTATCAATACGTATACAAGTTGAAGATTGCCGCTCAGATCTGAAACATATCAGTAGAGGCGATCCCTGAAGGCAGTATTCTCGGCCAATTTCTTTTTATCGTTTACGGAAATGACCTGGTAAATATATACGGTGATTCAATGTACGTCATGTACGCTGACGACGCAAGTCTATTTTTTTCCTCACCTGAACTTGATAGCCATCCGAACAAAGCCAACGCCGCTCTAAAAAACCCTCCAAAAATGGTCAGCAGCAAACGTTCTTCAAATTAATACAAAAAAATTAATACAAAAAAACGCCGTGATTTTCAGGCCAACATCTATGCAGGTAAGCTGTAATAACATCAACCTTATCGATGCACTTGAAAAAAATGGAAGTAGTAAATAATGTAAAAATACGTACTGGGAGTCACTCACCTTTACACAAAATATGCTTTGAGATCTACACGTGGAATCAGTTTTAGCTAAGTTATCTCGAGTAGTTGGTATGGTGGCGCGTCACAGGTGTATGTTACTCTTTAAAGTAAAGCTTCCTTTCTACAACACACTCTTTGTTTTCTTTATACTATTGTTTTTTGGTAGGGAGTACGACGACACAAACTAATCTTGAAAGACTTCACAAACTACAGAAAAAGGTTTTGCGATCAGTTTTCAAAGTGCCATATAACTCGCACACTTCATATTTATTTTTCAAAGCAAATATAATTCGTGTGTTTAACCTTTATAATTGTAAGTTAAGTCTAGCGTTAAGCAACGTTAAGCATGTTCGCGCGTGTTTCTAATGTGGGGGTGTATATAAGGTTAACACTACTCTATGTTGAGCCAGTTGGTGCATCGTTACTTGAAAGACGTGGAGAAAACTTAAAATCGTGAAAAACGAAGAGACAGAAATAGCGCCAATTAACTCACAACGAAGTTCATTTTCGTGAAGCATTTATATTGTATAAAGGCTCTTGTAGGGCATCCGCAGAACTGTTTCCCTCACCGCGCGTGCAGGACGACCGACAAGGCATCAAACTCAGATCACAACCACAGCTGAGAAACAGCAACACCTGATAAATCTGAAGTCAAATCTTGAGGAAAAAAACAAACAAACAAACCTGCATACCGTTCAAACCACGGCAAGCGTGTATATCGAAAGAAAAAAAATGACGTGCACTTCGTAACAAAGCCAACAAGGAAATCCCTAAATCCAACAGTTGGTATTTTCTATGCGCAACAATAAATGAAGGCACGCTGATACAAGAGACACCTTACTTTCTGATGTGAAACGCTTCCAGCACTTCCCGGCTCCTTCCAAACAGTCGCGTGTGATCTAACTGCGTTGTACATGACGATAGTTATAGCGCGAGAACAAAACGACGACTGGTATAACTATCGCATAACTATGGCATAACTATCGTCATGCCATACCAACTAGCCCAAGCTGCCACACTTCTGCGTTGTACAGCCACATGAAGCACAGTGGAAGGGTAAATGAGACCCTGTTCCATTATTAATTGATAAAAAAAATGTTCCTTTAAATGGTCATTCGTACAGCGCCCTGTCTGGCCAACAGACATATCCACAGCTTAGGGGCATTTCATAAACAGTGCCCACGGCACAACGCAGAAAGGGCTTTGCGTTCGTCTTGTCGTACGTCGCCCAGACACCTTTTGTAGACATGCGGGCACGAACCTCGAAAGCTTACTCTGAGCGGATAAGAATACCACAGGCACATGGTGCCGATTTGAAACTTTTTTTTTTTTTTGAGGTTGCGGGAAATTTCGTGTATGTGTAGAAGAGCGCGGTCTTTTTCTCTGTCCAAGAATGGCTCCAACCTTGCTTTATCATCATCAGCAGCAGCGTGGCTACGCCCACTGCAGGGCAAAGGCCTCTCCCATGAATTGATCCGTCAATCAACCCGGTCTTGGGCTTTCCGTTGCCACGTTATACCTGCGATCCTTTTAATCTCGTCAGCCCATATAACTTCCTGTTTCCCCTTCGTTTGTCTTCTCTGGGAATCCAGTCAGTTACCCTTGATGATCAGCGGTTATCCTGCCTACGTTCTTCGTGTCCGGCCCATGTCCATTTCTTTTTCTTGATTTAAACTATGATATCCTTAGCCGCAGTATGTTCCCTGACCCACTCTTCTCACTTCTTGCATCTTAAAGTAACACCTATCATTTCCCTTTTTATCGCTCGTCGCGTTGTCTTCAATTTAAGCTGAACCGTCTTTGTGAGCCTCCAGGTTTCTGCTCCGTATGTAAGTACTGGCAAGATGCAGCTGTTCTTTACCTTCTTCTTGAAGGTTAGTGGCAGATTACCATTCATGATTTGAGAATGCTTGCCGAATGTGATCCACCCCATCCTTATTCTCCTAGTTATTTCACTCTCATGGTTCGACTCCGCGGTCGGAAACATAGTCCTTTACAACTTCCAGCGTCTCTCCACGTACACAAAGTGCTGTTTTCTGCCGAGATATTTGCACATTACTTTAGTTTTGTGCATTTTTATTTCCAGACCTACTTTTCTGCTTTCCGTGTCCAGTTCTGTAATCATGAGTTGTATTTCGTCGCCTTGATTTACTCATCAAGGGAATGTCATCAGCGAATCCGCAGGTTACCAAGATACTCTCTATTAACTTTTTATCTCTAACTCTTCCCAATCTAGTGTGATGAAAACCTCCTGTAAACACGCGGTGATAGCATTTGAGAGATCGTGTCTTCCTGACTTACACCCTTATTTATTGGGATTCTGTCGCTTGATTTATCCACTGTAGATTTCTTCCAGTATGTTTAAGTAGGCTTCTTCGATGCCCTGATTCCGTAGTGCCTGCATTACTGCTGATGTCTCAACTGAGTCAAACGCCTTCTCGTAATCTATGAAGAATATAGGAGTTGATTGAATTCCGCGCATTTGTTTGTTACCTGATTGATAGTATGAATATGATCTATTGTGGAGTAGCCTGTACAAAATCCTGCTTGGTCCTTTGGTTGATTGAACTCTAATGTCACTTTAATTCTATTAGCTATTAATGATGTAAATTGTAGAGAACGGACAGTAAGCTGATCGGCCTGTAATTTTTCAAGTCGTTGGCGTCTCTTTTCTTGATTGATATGTGGGGTTTAACGTCCCAAAACCACCATATGATTATGAGAGACGCCGTAGTGGAGGGCTCCGGAAATTTCGACCACCTGGGGTTCTTTAACGTGCACCCAAACCCAAATCTGAGCACACGGGCCTACACCATTTCCGCCTCCATCGGAAATGCAGCCGCCGCAGCCGGGATTCAAACCCGCGACCTGCGGGTCAGCAGCCGAGTACTTTAGCCACTAGACCACCGTGGTGGGGCGGCGTCTCTTTTCTTATGGATTAAGATTATGTTGGCGTTCTTCCAAGATTCTGGCACCCTTCCCGTCAAGAGACACTTCCCATATAAGGTGGCCAATTTTTTGTAACACAATTTCTCTGTCATCTTTCAGGAGGTCCGTTGTTACCTTATCCTCACCAGCGGCTCTGCCTCTTTGCATTCCTTCTAGGGCTTTCCTCACTTCCCGGCCCTGTCGTTACTGGTAAGACGTCGATTTCCTCTGGACTATAATTGTTTGTCACTATAATCCTGGTTGTTTTGGCTTCTGTACAGCTCTCTGTAGAACTCCTCCACCACCAGCCTTGCTTGGACAGCTAGAGCCAACGTTGGCTCAGAAGCTGAAAGCGGAACGCAGAAGGCCAGAGCCATTGCTTTTCCTTCCTCCATGTGCATGAAGTTGCATATTAACTCTATGTCTATGAACCTACTGCAGGCTGCAGACAAGTTCCGGGGCGCAGCCGCGCATGTAGTAATGATGACAGTAAGCATTGCTCGTTCGCTGCGCTCACGAGTCCATGCCATTCACGAATATAAAGACAGTCCGGAAGCCTAAAAAACGTCGCCGCGACGACAACAAAACACGAAGGCGGCGCCATCGGGCAGCACTGTGCGGCAAAGGTGCGGCAGAACATTCATGCGGCAGAACGCAGCATGGCCATGCATGGCCATCGGTGTTCTGTGGCATGGCTGGCATGGCAGAACGTGATCAGACGATGCCGGCCACGGAGGAAGTGTGCACCCACACATGGCACCGCACACAGAGCACCACAGAACCAGTGGCCTGTTCTTGGCTTGCTCTGCGAAACCAAAACTAAACTTTGTTGGTAATATACACACTGTAACTAATTATTTAAAGCGCAATTCTACTGACAATGCGTCTTGTCATGACTAATAGGTTCCAACAACAAATTGCAGAAAAAAAAATGGGCCAAGCATCTTTTTTTGTGTGTGTGATAATGATGACTATAACAACAAAAAAACATTTTTGTTTGAATTTTGTGCAAGTGTTGCCATCTATGTTCGAGTATAAAAACTACTGCGCTGTTATGGCAACATTTGGCAGGCCCTGATTTTGGTTTCCCGTGTCCTTCATTTATTTTCGGGGGTCATGGCATCCGCACTGGGCGCTTGATGCGAGCTTGTGGCAAAAAATAGACGCAATGTGGCCAAATACAAGTGCGAACTGCTCGCTAGCACTCTGTAGTGAGATCTAAACGAAAGAGCTGTTCAAAACTTGGACGCAAAAGTAAACGTATCACCATTGCATGTGCCCACATCATGAGAAGTCGTAGAAATTCGGGAGTGCGCCTTGATTACTATCAGCGACTGGTGTGCCGTACCATTCTTGACCATCAGGTAGGCAGACAGGGTGCTGTTATTATAAGGTCACCCTTAAATATAGGAATGTCGTTGCACTCGCGACGCCGCTCACGTATGCAGCGCGTAATGCAATATTTAGTTGCCTGACACGTTCGCTTCACTCTTATTTTCCGAAATGCTCTCTGTCAGCTTATTTTGTCAGGAAAGCATCCGTGCTTATAGATTTCTTTTTTTCTTAAGAGCGTTCAACTATTTCATTCACCGATCCTTGCGTAGATTCTGACTAACGTGCTGTTTGGTATCGTTCTCGTGAAACTCCAAAGTAACAACAGCAACAAAATACTGTGATTCTCAGGACCCTGTCACAGGTCTTATTCCAAGCCACAAACAAGATGATCATGCCTGGGTCAGGGACAATGTATACTCCATTCTCTCTGTGTGGGCTTTGTCGATGGCCTACCGAAAAAACGCCGATTTGGATGAAGACCGGGCGAAAACGTATGAACTGGAACAGGTACGTTATCACTAGTTGTAGTTACTCTGCATTACGTTTTGATGACACTGAAAGCCTGCACAGTTATCCTGAATGTAATTTTCTGTTTCTGAGTGCGAGGATGTCGTGGGTTCGATTGCTTCTGTGAGCAGACGCTCTGTGGTGAAAGTCGAGACGTGTTTACAATCTTAAGCGTGCAAGATTAATCTGGAGCATCCACTTCTGTGCCCGTCATAGCTGGATTATTGTTTTAGAGTGTAAAAAGTGTGAAACACCGTAATTAGTTGCAGCCGATGCTTCAGCTGTTTCTTATATATTGATAAAATTGGGCTCACGTATTTGTAAGTTTATTGCTCATGATGGACATGTAGTGTATGCAACCTATTCTGCTATACCATGTAAGCTGTCATTCGAATAGTTCTAGTTGTTTAAGCAATTCATCGCGAAGGAGCGTGCCCAAACTTTCACAAATTTGCTTGTAAATCTGTTTGGTATTTGTTTACTGTCTAGTAATCACATTCTGAGTGTGTCTGTTGTTTTAATAGCTGCAGAGGGCTTTGGTAGCCTTTTCGAACATAGTGGGTACAGAAACAGTATGCGTGTACTGCTGATATTTCAGGCCTGCATTAAAATGATGCGAGGCCTGCTATTGGCCATGATGAGACAGAAAGACAAGGTGGAAAAGTTCAAGCAGACGCAAAATCCTGCCGACTCCCTTCATGCCAAGTACAGCTCGCAGACGACTGCCACAGTAGTGGGTGACCGTGAGTGGGGACACCTTCAGTTGGATGCCACCTCTCTATACTTGCTCATCCTGGCTCAAATGACAGCCTCTGGTTTGTTGATCTTTAACCATTGTCACGAGTGCTTGTAGTGTTACATAAAGTCTTGATAAAGAGCAGAACGGTTTATGTGTACAGTCTGCATGAAAGGTGTCTTAAAACGCAGGAACTAGAGTATGTATTGCTCTAAGGCGTGTCCTTATGGAAGCTTTTCTAAAAGCAAAATATAACTGGTATCGTGCATAGTATTCATGGCCAGAGTCCTTCAATGTTAAGTCCTTTGAAAGACTCTGGTATGATTTGTAGTCTGATATTGTTGCATTAAAGTGGCTGTAACCTTTCGCTGTTATCAGCATGCATTGCTGTACACTGACCACCACAAAGCGTGTATTGTTTAACACTAGGTTAAACCACTGCGCTGGTATATGCTGGCGCCAATACTAGACCATCAATATAAATTGAAATGCAAACAGGAAACAATCAAAATGCTTGTTGAAAACAATTACATGGAAGAACAATGTGTAATCATTCTATAACCAACTTTTTGTGTTTGGAAGTAGTCTAAAGTATATGCTTTATAGTCTGAATAAACCAGTGGTGCCAATGGGAGGGAAGCTGTAAGTGAAACTGGAAGTTGGAGTTGTTTCAAAACTGACATTGCTTAAATTTATGCTGATATGATATGCTTACATTGAAATTGAAGCCTTCTATTAGTGCAGTATGTTGTGTTTTTACTTTGTTTTTTGTTGATTCCACATCCTCATAAAAAGGGACACTAGAGAGGAATAATGAGTTGGTTTAGATTGAAAAACTGCGCTCGGAGAACTCTAATGATACATGTTTCACTATCATAAGTTCATTGTTAGCAGAGAAAATCAAAGTTGAAGTTTCAGTTTTAGGTTTTGCTCGAAAATCTTCTCGCGTGACATAAGACATTCTAAAATGTATTTTTGGTATTTTTGTAGCAGTTTCTCTATTGGGGAGAGGGGGGGTGATTTTCTGAAACTTCGTATGCTAAGTTATGGCACCCACAGGTTACAATGTAGTTCATTTTAGAAGAACCGAGCATTGGGCGAGTTGGTATTCTAATGTGGATGACATTTTGCGAAAAAAAAAAAAACACGGACAAGAAGGAAGAGAGTACAGACTTCATTTTTATCGATTGGAAGCTATGTAGAACCCAGTAAGCTCCTTCAGCATTTTCTGCGTTATGGTGTTTGGTGGGGGAATCTCAAGCTGGCATCGCCACCCGCATTTTCTTTTTGCATGTTTTCTCGCTTAATAAGTGTTGTGTCAGGGTAAGAGGGGTGTTTTTGAGATTTCGAAATTGTAATTCACTAATACACAAAAAATGATTTTGCTCCTTAGTATCCCTTTCATAAAGCTTTTAACTAATTGGTCATTATGGTTAGATGAGAAGCATAGGCCTGTACCACCTTGAGTTTGTACCTCATATTAAGTTCAATTATGATACCTACCACCCTCTCATGAATGCTGCATAATGCCTCTATCTTAAATACTAAACTCTTGTTGATAAGGAGGCCCACCCCTAGTATTCTTTTGTCAACTAAGCGATGATAGAATAGGACGTTCCCATAGGGGGTGCACAGGAGAAAGCAGGGGGGCAGCCCCCCTTCCTTCCCCGCAGTCAGCTAAGAAAATGGGGGGAGGGCGCAAAGTCAGCCTTTGCATTGACATAATAGGGAGGAGGGTGCTGCAACTTGAAGTGCAGAGGGTCAGCCCTGTACATTGACATAATAAGGAAGGGACCCCCGAAAAAGAGAACCTAGCGCACACCTATAGATGTGCCCATTTCTTGACACCGTATAGCAGGGGCCTCAGACACGTGGCCCACAGATACCTTTCTAGCGGCTTGCCGTGCATGTGACGATCTTCATCCCATTCTTTATTCTTAGTAAGCTTGTTCATAAGCTACGTGGACATGATAGGTCTCAATCATTCTTTTTTTGAGGCACACCATGCAATCACCATGCTGTAAAGCATAACCGTGGAACAAAAACGTATTTCAGAATCTGCGTCCAGATTCCCTTCATTCAGCAGATCAGTATTGGTGTGGTTCTAAAAAAACTTGCTTACATTTTTTTTCATTAGAGATCAATATATGACCATGTGAGAAATGCCTAGGTACTTCTCAATATCATCATTAGCTAACATTTTATTCGGATTCTGTCTAATTTGTGTCTGATATGTTAATTTTAGAATGACAGTAAGAGTATATCAAAGTTTGTAACTCAGAAACTATGAGAAATAACTCAAGGCCAATTTCAGTTATGATATTGCCATAATGAATCGCATCCTAATGCTAAATTTCATCTTTTTATTTCCATAAATAACGCATAGTTCTCATGCCACATCCCTCTTTAAGATTCAAGGGACCTTAGTACTCATGGAAAAGGAGAGATTAGTCAAAATCTAGAGAAACCTTTTCAATTTTATATTGAGCTTCCCAGCTTTTTCCCGAACTGTCAAATTGCAAATACTAATGGTTCCTCTTGGCACCGGCTTTTTTTTTAGTTATTTGTATGGAGATTTATATATGAACCATATTGTATTTGCCAAAAAGATGTCATAAAGGTTTTGTTTTAGATAGTTTCTATGCCCCCAGTAGCTTGGAAATCGGCTTCGTTCTGGAAACTCATTTAAAACTTCGAGTGTTCTTGAAGAGGTTTTGTATGGCTACAAAAGTAAGGTGAACACTCTACATGATGCATAAATATCTTATTGAATTATTTTTTGTGAATTTTAAATACAACTTCATGTTCATTCGTCTGTTGCCAAGATTTAAAAATTCGCTTACAATTGTCCAAGTTTTTTTGTGTCTCATCTTATCAGCTGGACCAATGAACACAGACTCTGAATGTTTTATGCGCAATGAATAACATTTATACAGCATAAAATTGTTAAGCTTTACATGCAAGTAAACACAAAGTAACTTTACAGAAAATACCAAAGTATAAATTAGCCTCCATGTATTGCAAAATACAAAGAAACCTTCTGGATTTTCCTGCCTTTTTTTTTCATTCTGTAGAATACAGATCTGGTGTTTGCAAGCACTAGTTGTGGTTACCTCGTACTAAGATGGTAAGAAGCTTGCTAAAACTCTCTGCTGAAGTTATTTACTCTAGCTATAGGGTAAGCAACTGCCTATGGTAGTAAATGAACAAAAATGTTTCACCTAGGTGCTCCTTTACCACCAGCACCTAAGGAAAGTTGCTTTTGTGCATTTCACACTTATTTTGTGTTATGTTATAGTATCGTACCTTTTAATCACCTTTTAGGTCTTCAAATAGTATTCAACCTGGATGAAGTCAACTTTATTCAAAACCTGGTTTTTTACATAGAGGCCACTTACTGCATCCCGGTAAGTGGTGGACACACAGTATCAGTGGGACTTTGTTTTTGTTTATTGTTTTGTTTTTCTCTCACACAACTTGTATTGACCTCTTTTCAGGACTATGGTATTTGGGAACGGGGTGACAAAACAAACCATGGTCTGCCAGAACTGAACTCAAGCTCGATTGGAATGGCCAAAGTACGTTGTTTACTGCCTTGCTCATTTTTCTTTTTTTATATTAGTTTGCAATGCAGCAGTCTATTAGTGCGTACAGTGTGCTGCAGTGATCTACAGTGTTGCCATCTATTTCTATATAAATTTAAGGCTTTCATTTTTGTGTGTTTAAATGGTAAAAAATACATTTTCTTTGGATTTAATAAAATTCAGTATGGGGGGGGGGCAAGATGTTGCACATATGGTGCACATCAGCCTCTTAACAATCTAGCGGATTGTGCTGTATCAGAAATGTAAAGGAAGTTTTAAAGAATACAAGATCATGCTGTTTGGCTAAATGGGTTGATGTAATGCTGTGTCTCGGTGTGAAAAAGACATGACAAAATGAGACAACGCATTGGCTATCTACTGAAATAAACTCATACCTCGATATATTGAAACTGGATATAACAAAATACTGATTATAACAAGAGAAATGAAAAAAAAACTCTCACAATAGATATAGTGTTAGGAATAAACCTTTATAACAAATTTTTGGGTATAACACACTTAGTATTTTCCTGCAAGGTGCAATTTTGTTATAATGAGATTTGAGTGTAGTATTTGTATGTGTCATTTTGCACTGAAATATAACAATAATTAATGACCTCTTTTTTTATGTTGACAATTGGTGTATGTTGGTCTACGAGGTGAATATTCTTGTATCCTCTGCTGGTGTCTAGTGATAGCTCCAAATCACAACTAAACTATGGGAAAGTGGTACTAGGAGTAGTGTTCATTTTATTTGCTTTTATTGCTATTCCGCAGCTTATGGTACCATGTCTCGGATCATTTATGGCAATCATTGCACTGACTTTCAAAGGGATATTTGGGAAAACTCATTTTTTTCTGTGGCCCCCACTGACCTTTGGTTTCTTTGTGTGTGTTCTTTTTTTTTCTCATAAAAATAAATGGCAGATGTAAATCTCATGGGCATAAATGAATTTTATGCTACCGAGAGTAATCGAATAAAGTGTGCAAAAGCATTAATACATGCATTTAATTTGTGCATTAAAATATTATTGCTTGCGAGGCCATGTTTATTTTTAAGCATTGCTCTGCTTCTGAGTGCTGCTTCATGAATACTAGTCTTTGTGCTAGCTAATACATAGTACAAGTACAATATGATTCCCATTATGTCGTTAAGCATCAAAGCAACTTTTCAGGCTTCGAGGCAGCAGTGCTGAACGTACATACTGGAGCATGCTAAGGTTTTAGTTGCTGTCAAGTAAACAGCAACTTTTTGATGAATGTCTGAAACTAGTTATATGATTGGTTACTCACCAAATCAAAAAATGTTCTCCTTTAATGAATTGTTATCAGCATTTTGTTGCAATTGAGTATTAAATAAGCTGTCAGCTTTTGTACAAACAGTTGTACAGTGTGCTTTCAGTGAAGCAATGATTATTTGCTTTGACAATGCTGGTACTTTATGAGAGATTATAGAATTTGAAGAAGACGTACCTTATGCACATTGTGAATGTTTCCCACCAAAGGAAATTTGGAAGTTTTTGTGCTTCAGTCATAATAGACGTCCTCAATGTATGACAGTAAAGCTGCATCTTTTCAGAGGTACATATAGTGACAAGCTTGTTTTTTCTCCCTTGATTGCCTAACGTGGCTTGAGACTGTTTAGGCTTGCATGAATCTTACAGTACCACTGATAGAAATGTTGGCAGGTAAGTTTACTGTGCTGCCAAAGCAATCTTTATAGCTTCAGCTCGTGCACATCATATTTATTTTCATGGCACTGCAGGCAGCTCTACAAGCGTTGGATGACCTGGATTTGTTTGGGGGCAAAGGAGGTCCATTTTCAGTAATACATGTCCTGGCCGATGAAGCTCAGAAATGCAATGTTAGTATGCATCTAAACTGACTATTGGTTGTGGAAGAATCGAAAAACAGTTTTCCTCCACATTTTTACCCTGTACAACATGCTTTCTGTTTATGTAGGCTGTGCTGCAGTCTATGCTTCCACGAGAGTCCAACTCCAAAGAAGTAGACGCAGCTCTTCTTTCAGTTATTGGCTATCCAGCATTTTCTGTGGACGACCCTGAGCTTATAGCTCAAACGCGGAAAAGCATTCTGCAGAAACTGAAGGTATGCGGCTAACTTGAAGCATGGAACATCTCTCTGTGAAAAGAAGAGGGGTAGAGTTTTTAACTCCTGCCGTGCTACGTGCAGCTATCATGAGCTTTAGAGTATATCTAATTCCTAGTACGAAAATCCTGACATTTCTTTTTCTTTCTGGAGGGCTTGCCATGTGAGAAATAATGGTGTTATTTTATTCGCTTAGGGCAAATATGGTTGTAAAAGGTTTCTTCGAGATGGCTACAAGACGGCAAAGGAGGTAATGAATGATGCATTTTCCTAAGCCTGTACATTTATTTTTTGCTGTTCAGGTTCTGTTGTGGCTGTTTTTTTGTAGCTGCAGTCTTATTTGCAGGATCCAAGCCGGCTGTATTATGAATCTTGGGAGCTCCAACACTTTGAAAACATTGAATGCGAGTGGCCACTCTTTCTCTGCTATTTGGTGATTGACGCGTGCTTTCGTGGGGAGCGTCTAGAGGTAAGAAATTCCAGCTTTATTTTTTTGGCTAGTGGCACAAGAGCATTGGTGCAGTTATTTTGTGTTTGAGTAAATTTCAATTAGTGCTCCATGATACTAGTTCTTGTACGAAGATGAAGTAATTATTTATTGCATTGGCAGTCACTAAGTCACTATGTGTAGCTAAAAGGTCTTGTTTCTACATGCCAATTTTTTAGTTTTTTTTTTTTACTTTTACTTGTGGTTTACTTTAGGTGGAAGAGTACTCTGATGCTTTGGAGCAAGTGCTCCTTCGAACTGAAGATGGACTTAAATTGGTGCCAGAAATGTACGCTGTACCAGCTGACAAGGTGTGTTACTTTAATTGGCACATGATTGAGCCCTTTAACCGGATGTTTAGCAGTAGATTCCAAGTGTGACTGATCGTGTAATGTTGCTATGTGTAGTAATTGCATCCGTTTTGCATGCTTCTCACTATTCAACCTGCACTTTACTTTGTAGGTGGAAGCAGAATACAAGAATCCCCACAGTCAGCAAAGGATTCATGTTGGCATGACCCCTTTTATGTGGGCTCAGTCACTATTCATCATTGGCCGACTTCTACAAGAGGTGATCGCTCCCCCCCCCCCCCCCCCCATTTTTTTCTGCCCTTTTATGGTTCTTATTCTGTGTGCCACTTCATCTCTTATCTGTAGGGTTTCATTGTTCCTGGCGAGCTGGACCCTCTGAATCGTAGGCTGGCCTCGGAGAAAAAGCCTGATGTGGTGGTGCAAGGTTGCTTTCATTATTATCAGCAAGTTTAGTTTATTAAGTGAATGGCAGATGCAATAAATAACTTGGCACTTTTTTTTTTCAGTGGTCGTGCTTGCGGAAGACCACATCATTCAGGAGAAGTTAATGCACCATGAGATCTTTGTGCAGACTATACAGGATGTCCCTGACTTTGAAGTGCTACCAGCTAGGGTTCTGGGACACATTTACACATATCTAGGTTTGTTTTAGCTCTCATTAATTCAAAGCATTGTCTTGTGAGTAGTTTTGTTGAGTCATCCACGAATCACCTCTTTAACATCCTCTGTAGGAAGAAGCTCTAAACTGGGCTTGAGCGGACGACAGTCACGAGATGTGGGAATTCTTAGCACAAGCAAAATGTACTTGTTCAAGGATTCTCTCTTGGTATTCACTCCTCAGGTAAGCTTCCATAAGAAGTGCATTTGCAACTTGCTTCCATCCAATCCTTATACCAAGAGTTAACACCCTTATTTTTTTTGTACCAATTTCTTATAATTTTTTTTTCCGAAGGCATATAAAAATTTCTTCATTTCAGTTTGCAGATCAGCATCGATTTTATCTGGCCTCTGACACTGACCTTCTCATTGACACCTTCAAGACGGAGGTCGCCTATCTGAAGTCTGCATGGAGAATGCTTGGAAGGCCAACAGTCATCTTACCTGTTTCACAGGACCTTCTTCGTTAGTTGTATACCTATATTTTATAAATGCTTGCTTTGGTTCCATTATCTGAAAACATTGTATGAATATAAGGATTTTGCATGCACTTCCAATTTTGGAGTATCATACTCTTTATGGGCAAAAGATTTTTGAACACTTCTTTGTGTTCACTTTTCAGATATCTTCATATGAGGATGACTATTAGTGAAGCAATTAGTTATTGCCTAAAACAAAGTGAGATATATTTATTTATGTATATTTCTTGGAATAAGTAGCCAACGGGGCATCTCGTGCATCACTTTGTTGAGCAGGAGGGGGGGGGGGGGGAATTTCAGATAACCATAGAATTTCAGTTTTAAAATTAGTGCACTCCAATTTTGACATTGCAGTGCACTGTATTTGGTGTTAGTTGTTTGCAGGGGTCCTGGTTTTGTTTGGGGCAAAAAGAGTTCATAAATTTTACACCCAAATTGTAAAACGTTTTGCACCTTCATTGATTTTACCTTTACAGATAATGGAAAAATACCTGGGGAAGTTATAGCCACAATAAAAAAGCTAAAAAGTGGTTATACTACTGGTACTCGGTACGTTTCCAACTTCTCATTTTACATTGGTCTGTATATTGCGTAGCAGCATGGGCGGTGCCACATGGGGGTCCCGAAAAGGGGGGCAGGAGGAGGAGGAGGCTGCAACTCCCTAATCATTTTTGCCTGCCTCCTCCCCCCTCTCTTTTTTAATAACAATTACTGTTAAAACAACAGGCATAAGTTCCTTGCTTATTTGCCCTACCACAGGAACTCGGTCGTCGTGGGTACACCCCAGTATAAAAAATTCTGGCACCACCCTACATAACCCTACATAGCAGTCTTGCCCCATGGTGGTGGGAAAATAAAAGCTTTGCAAATTAACTGATGATTGTGTACTTTTTTTTTTCAGCATTCTTTTAGGCACTCTTGATGAATTTGTGAGCACATCCTGTATTGCAAGCCTCAGCTTTGTTGGAAGTCAAGAGGAAGGACATCCAGAACGTATGTCTTTAAGAAACTAAAATATGAATGCCTCATTTTTCGTCAGAAAGCTTGGAGCCTTTGTGTTTTTAATTTAACTTTGCTCAGCACCTGTCGTATAGTGTAGCCTGCCACTTTTCAGTGTGGCATTTTTTTTTTAATTCATAGTTTCATAGCACATTTTCTCACTCCTCTCTGCACATGTTTTGAACACAAGCCTGAAATAAGGGGCGTTGCTGACTGCAGTTTTTGCTCTTTGCAGGTATTCCAGCTGAACTCAGGGAATATCTGAACAAAGAATTCACCAGAAAGGACTTAAGAAGAGACTCGATCTTCCTGAGAAGGCAGTCAATAATTGGCACTCCAAAGAGCCCTTCATTGTTTGGCACTCGAGGGAAGTTGGGTGTGAAGGGACTCGTGAAGAGATCAAGGTCAATTCATGTGGAAAACTTCTTCTCATATGGTGAGTTTTGCAGACTGCATCATTATGCAAGATCTGTCATTAAACAGTCTTTTTTGAGCAAAATCAAAGATGTCTATTTTTTCAAGCTAAGGCAGTTCAATGGAGGAAGTTGGTGGTGATGTTTTTTTTTTCAACAATTATAACTATCCCCCCCTCCTTGCTGTGTTGTCATCAAGCTAAGCAGAATGATTAAATAAAAAAATAAGTAAATATACACTCATCAGTGTTTTCATCAATTTTAAGTGGCACAACAAAACCCAAGGTATGCAGTTTTTTTTTTACCATTGGTTTTGAAAATTTGAAGGCTGGCACATACCAATTTATTTTAGGGGTCACAATTTCATAGCATTTGCTTGTCTTCCAATCTTCCAAAAGAGTCTAGTTGCTTACAGTGTGTAAATAATCATGTATATGTCACTCCTAAATGCATCTATCATGCAGAAATTATTCTTTCATGTCGTATTGTTTTTTGAAGGGCCCATGCTGTGTAACTTTAGAGCCACTTCGTTTATTTTGTAAAGATGGCAGGGCAGCAAAGCTGTGTTAGTTATATTGAGTGTTAAACTGAGTGTTGCAGATTCAAGTTGAACTAAGCAAATCATTTCAGGTCGCAATTTACAGATGTCAGCTCTTTGCTGACAAATAATTTCAGCTTGCAAGCTCACAGTTCAGACACGTCTGCTCGCTCTGTGCTGGTGCTGGTCGCAATTTACAGATGTCAGCTCTTTGCTGACAAATAATTTCAGCTTGCAAGCTCACAGTTCAGACACGTCTGCTCGCTCTGTGCTGGTGCTTGGCCTTCAGTTGGCAAGCTCACAGTGCTGTGCTCTCAGCATCGTGATGTCATTTCGATTCACTGTTGAATTCGTGCTGAAATTTTCGTAAGCAGCTTGCTCGTTGACAGTGCAGGCTACGTTGAGGTTTTCCAATTTCAAATCAGGAAAGTTGCTTTGTAAACCAGCTTGCAGTGCTGCTGCATATTCAGCACGGGAATGTCGTTTCTGTTCACGGTTGCCAATGTTCCTCATAAGAAGCTTGCTTTTTAGCAGTGCAGACCACACAAGGTCTATCCACCTCGAATCAGATGTAGTTTATTTGGCCTGGTCTGTGTGGTTGGCTTGTGAGATCGCATGTGGTTTGGAAAGTGCACGAGGCTATATGATTGACTTGCAAGATCACATGAAGCCTTGAATCTGCCACCAGATTTAAAATGCAAGCTGATTAGTCAAAGTGGATCGCGTGACCTGTTGGTTCAGCCAATGGCATTTCAATGCATAGCTACTACTACTACTACTACTACTACTACTACTACTACTACTACTACTACTACTACTACTACTACTACTACTACTACTACACTTGTCAAGAAAAAACAGCTTCACGGTAGAAAAAAGGGGGAGGTACAAATGACACAATTTATACATACATCTTAAATCTAAAGTTTCATGTTTTCTGCAGCAAGAAATGCAAAATTAGAAACTCTCAGGCAGCAGTAATATCTTATATGAAATGTTACTTCATAAAAATTTTTTGCTGACCAGCCTCATGATAAGCAGTAGACAAATGAGGAAAACCTCCAACATTCATCAATGCAACTTGTCTTTATTAGGCCTCGGATGAAGGCAGTTACCATTGTAAAAAGATGGGCTTCGGACTAACGTTTGTCTTGTTTGCCAACTGTTCATCACTGCAACCATGTTTTTCTTCTCGTGAATGTCTCCCTGTCCTGTTTGGATGACTGTCTCATGCTCAAGAGCCTTGCAGCTTACCTATCCTGGTGTTTTATTGTCAGAGAGTAAATATTGGCCGGGTACCAGCATGCTTCGCTGCAAATTTCGTTGAAAGTTGATAGTCCCCTGCCGGCCGTACTACAGGAGTCCTGGTCTCATCTGCACGAGATATGGCGCTGCATGAGATCTGTATGCCATCTGGCAGTGGTTTCGGGAAACATGAGCCTGTGCTGAACCCGGCACCACTGCCAGGTGACCCCACCGTATCGTCGGCAAAGGGCTTTTTTTATGCGTAGCGTCACATTTTCATCACGCATAACTTTGCATTCTTCAGTGCAGACTAAAACACACTAAGGTCTTCACAGTTATGTATCCACATATTTTCTAGTAAAGGAACACACCACTAATACTTACATATTGAGGTTGCGCCTTAGATATGTGTAATGTTTGCTTTTTGATCAACAGTGTTCACAAGTATGAACCTAGCCACCAGTTCAAAATGGCTGGGCGTGCAACAAGGGCTTGAACTTTGGCCTGGTGGCTGAATCATGTGACAAACAGATAGACCAAAATTTATGCGTTCAAATATCTCAAAAAAGAGGTAGTCTCAAAAATGTGTCTTTATTCATACATAACCCGCTTTGCCTGGAGATGTTATAGCAGGGTGGTTACAAACATTAAAAAAATAAATTATTGTCACTGCACATTTGCTCAAACAGCAGACTGTTTCATTGATTAATAGCTCTCATAAAAAATGAATTTACATACAGGTTCGTCCTGGCCTGGTATGGCCTTATTTTGTGTATGTGATCTGTACATTCACATATGTAATCTGGCTGTTTTTTGAAACAGCCAGATTGCATATTAAAAAAAAAAGTCTCTGTCAATTACTGTTTTATTGTGAAATGTCTGATATAAGAACTTCAAATGTAATTTTTTACGTCGTGATGAAAGTGATTTCAGGTTCAATTTCTTTTTTATTTCGGTACGACTGTAATTTTTCTATACCAACTCAAGGCAAACCTGGCTGCTCTGTTGGGAATTTTTTCTAATTTATTAATCAAGCCTACTTGTGACTGGTCCCAAAGAGTACAAGCGTATTCTAAAATTGGTCGAATACAAGTGAGGTAACCTGTGCTCCTAACCTAAAAATCTACACTTTTAAAATTCCTTTGATTATATAGCTCAATGCCACCGCAGCTTTAGCAACCACAAAATCCACATGTGCATTCCAGGAACAATCGTGCGAAAATAATATACCCAAATATTTGTACCTACATTTTCTATCTGAAATGTTTGCCCTCAAATAACAGTTTGCATTATTTTTTTCTTTGTGAAACACACATAGACGCACTTGCTAGTGTTAAAATTCATTTGGCACTTAAAGGGACACTTAAATATTAAGTCGACATTTATTATTAAAATAGCAGTCCAGAAACATCATAGTGTTACTTTTGTGCCAAGGAAGGGCTTATTTTGAAACAAAATATCGTTTTAGTGGTCTACATCGCGTTAGTGCACTACAAGTTACCCGTCTCAACAATGTCTGGCGTCACGTTTGTGGTGCACAATGTTGCTCGGCTTTAATGTGTGGCTGCTGACACTATCGTAGCGACAGAGGAAAAGTAGCAGGAGCCACAGCAGCAGCAACGGCCATTGAACAATTTTTAGCCATTAACTTCAAGATTGCAGACATGCTTGGTTCAACTAGGTCCTGCTAGATGGTATGACCTGTCCAGTTTAACCAGGTGAAAATTTTGAACCAGTCATGCCATTCTCTGTAATATCATCTGGCAGTTCTTTTTTTTTTATGAATCAAATAGAAACGGACAAGCAGTATTTTATTGCATCTCTTGATGCACGGAAGGTTCTTTATTTAGTGCAGCTAGATCGATTACTAGTGATTAATTGTAGGCGGTTGGTCTGACGTCATTGGGATCATGTTGCAAATGTCCTACTGTGGTGCATTTGTTCTCATGCATTTACCTTAATTTCTCGGTAAGTAGGGCACTGTTGTTGATAATATTGCTATGTAGCTGACGTATCAGCGGTCAGAAGACGACAACGAGGAAGTGGTCTGTCGGTTGTGCGTGCTGTCTTCCATCTTAAGTCAACGCCATATGCATCAGTTTGAATATAGATTTTAAATAGACACGCCTCGTGTCATTTTTACGTAACATCTTTGTGGTGGAGGTGCGGGATACTTCCCCGTCTTCATCACGAAGCTCCGCAACGGCCACATCATCATAGGTCCAACCATGTCACAGGTTGAACAACCATCGTCTTCGCCACCTGCACCTACCGTGACTTCTACATATGTCGTTCTACCTCCTGCTCGTGATCCCGGTGTATTTTCCGGTCAGGATGGCGTTGACGTCGACAAGTGGATCAACCGGTAGGAACGGGTCAGCGCAAGCTATAGGTGGGACCCGACTCTTATGCTTGCCAATGTGCTTTTTTACCTCGATGGCCCACCACAAGTGTGGTTCGAGACGCACGAAGCGGAGATTACGAGCTGGGACTCCTTTAAAGAGAAGATCCGCGACCTTTTTAGCGACACCGTTGGGCGGCAGATCGCAGCACGGAATCAACTGGCGGCTCGTGCACAGACGTGGACGGAGTCGCACGTCGCGTACATTCACGACGTCATCGCCCTATGCCGCCAGATTGACGAGGACATGACTGAGTCGGAAAAAGTGGCCCATGTGCTGAAAGGCATAGCAGATGACGCACTTAATCTTCTAGTTTACGACGACGTTGCTACCGTCGACGCCATCATTAAAGAGTGCCGGCGGTTCGAAGAAGCCAAGAGCCGTCGTATTACTCAGCGATTCACCCGGCTGCCCAACACGGCTGCGACCTCATCGTGTGAAGCCATCCGCCAGTCCCCCACGTATGACGTCACACACATTGTTCGTCGGGAAATCGAAGCCGCCTGTCCGGCTCCTCTTCAGCCACCCGTTTTCGCAACGCTCGCCTCTGACCAACAACAGCCGTCAGCGGCGTTAATACAAGCTGTGGTGAGGCAGGAGTTTGCGAACCTTGGACTTCCATCAGCATGTCCCTTGACTCGCCCTGAAGTCCCGTCCTACTCCCGAGGACACGCTCGCCGTTCACCTCCAACAATGCCCTTCCATAACCCTTCGGAATGGCGAACACCCGACGACCGGCCTATTTGTTTTTCCTGCCACCAACCTGGGCATGTTTCTCGCTATTGCCGCCGCCGTTGGTCAAACCAACCACGTCAGACTTTCTCTACCTCGGCGCTCA